AGGTCTAACTAGTACTATGAAAGAGAATTTTCAATAAATTATAAAATCCAGCAACAGCCCCTACCCACCCCATCCCCAGTCAAGTTTAAGGTCCGATAAGGAGAAACACAGGCAGAGAAAGCTCTGACCACAGCCTGCCCCACAGAGACTGTAAACCCAAAGATCATTATCAGCTGTGGCATCATCAGTGGCTATAAACACTGGTCTTCAAAGTAGGACATCCAAATCATTCATTCCTTTGTCTGGACACAGACACGGGGTGGCCCATTTGAAAGCACTAAGCATCCGTTTCCTACATTGTATGAGTGTCCAAACACACAGGGTCTACCAGGCACACAGTTTGGTTTCTAAGTGGCAGTTTATATGAGAGAGGTTATGCTTACCTGTGTAAATCTCACACAGTCGGTGAAAATACACTAACAATCTGGGAGCTCTTATATCAGGATGGTGGAAATGGGTAGTTTCATTCTTTTAATCATTTGAATGGGTCTATTTTTCACTGTCTAAACATATCATTTTTTTTAAAGATTTTATTTATTTATTTGACAGAGAGAGATCACAAGTAGGCAGAGAGGCAGGCAGAGAGAGAGAGAGAGGGCGAAGCAGGCTCCCTGCTGAGCAGAGAGCCCCATGTGGAGCTTGATCCCAGGACCCTGAGATCATGACCTGAGCCAAAGGCAGCGGCTTAACCAACTGAGCCACCCAGGCGCCCCTAAACATATCATTTTTAAAGAAGGGTTTTTTTTTTTCTTTTTTTAATTTGACAGACAGAGATCACAAGTAGGCAGAGAGACAGGCGGCGGGGGGGGGGCGGGGGGGGAAGCAGGCTCCCTGCTGAGCAGAGAGCCCAATGTGGGACCCAATCCCAGGACCCTGAGATCATGACCTGAGCCGAAGGCAGAGGCTTTAACCCACTGAGCCACCCAGGCGCCCCTTTTAAAGAAGGTATTTTAAAAGATGAAAAAAACTACAGCTTTTAAAATGTTTAAGGAAAGATTACTGTACATCAAGCACTTCCTCCATTCCTTAATAACTGCTTATACAGACTCAATGTGTATCATTTGTAACATTTACTAAAGAGTTTTAATTTTTAAAAATTTCTCCCTATATGTGCTATGGTGAGTGCTGTGAAGTGCGTAAACCTGGCGATTCACAGACCTGTACCCCTGGGGATAAAAATATATTATATGTTTATAAAAAACAAAATTAAATTTAAAAAAAAAATTTCTCCCTAGATGACAGCCACCCCTCTGGACATTTCTCAGCTCCATTCATCTTTCTCTAGGTAGAAAAGAGCCAGAGCCCTCCACATGGGGAGCTACAACCTCAAGATGTAATTGGCAATTTTATAACAAGGGAAAATAACATTTCCTTGTCAGTCCCCACCCTCCTGCTGAAAACAGACCGTATCTTCAGGAACTGTCCATGATTCCCGGATGAGATCTTTACCTGCATCGTAACTGTTGACTCAGCAAGAGGCACATAATTTCCTTTCTCCCTAAACGGCTTCCATACTCCACTTAAGTTCATCACTTTAATACACATAGATACTAAATCTCTCAGAAAATAAAAGCTCTGGGAAAAAAGAGAATTTCTCGTCCACTCCTATAACCCTGGCTCCTAGTACAGTACCTGGCATGCAGGAGGTACTCAATTAATAGTTTTACATCAGTGAACGAATGAACTTGGCTTTCCTTTTTTTTTTTTTTGGAGGGGCTTTCTGTTTCTTTTGGCTCAACAGATAAAAGAACAATTAAACATATTTCTTGAAGGATATCATGGAAATGCTCCACCACCAGAAAAGTTTAAATACATACCTTCTATTAGGGATAAAGTAAGAAATTTTTCTGTATTGAAAAAGGGTGAACCGAATAACCTCTTTTTTTTTTTAAGATTTATTTGACACAGAGAGAGAGAGATCACAAGTAGGCAGAGAGGCAGGCAGAGAGAGGGGGAAGCAGGCTCCCTGCTGATCAGAGAGCCCAATGCAGGGCTCCATCCCAGGGCCCTGGGATCATGACCTGAGCTGGAGACAGAGGCTTAACCCACTGATCCACCCAGGCGCCCCCCGAATAACCTCTAAAGGTTCCTTTCACCTCCTAGACTCTGTAACTTGAACATCACATCACACCTTAAGAGAGACTGGATCAGCTACATAAAGCCTGATTCCCAGGTACAGTAAATTACCATGCTCTGTTTAAAATAAAGGTAATAGCTGCCCCGGGACTTGGGTGCAAAAACACTAACTCATCCAAAACGTGGACACATCGCTCGGGGAGAAATGTTCTTGCTGTTCATGAGTTACATCCTGGGAACAGCAAATGTGCTTCAGGGTCGTCTCAGAGCCAAGCACCAAGACCATCCACGAGAAAATGGAGAAGCTATGGGTTGAGATTAGAACAGAAATAAACAGTATCACACCAAACTGAAGCCTCTGTGTTTTCCAGTCAACAAATCCACTTAAGAAACATCTGAATTGAGCCTTAAGGTTTATATGGTTATAACTGAATATAACCACTTCGTAAGACAGAAAATACTGCATCTGACATATAAGGAGTTTTCTCTAGTAAAATCTCTTATTTAACCAGAAGGTCACACTAAGACGTTCAAGTTCAAGAAAACCTAAATGGAGGGCAAATTAATCTAATTGCACCTTCCCTCAATCTGGATGGGAGAGGCAGTCTGCAGGGCAAGGAGACTGTTCCTGTTTTCATAAACAACTTCAAGGGGAAAAAAGGCTAATTTTAAAGGAGTAACTAGGGAAACTCCAAACCAATTTTGGAGTGATTCTCTTCTCTCAACACCCTTCCATTTGTTCAAATCGGAGATAGGTGGGGCAGGGAATTCCACGATGAAGGATGTAGTGTCGATCCTTGGAACTGGGTTTGGGGAAATATTCTGCGTTCATCCGGGCTGTCTTGAGACATAACTACAGGCACCACTTAAGACAAGAACTTAATGAACAAAGTGAAACAATTCAACGATTCCTTGGAAATGTATGAAAAGACTTTTCAACTCTGTATAGTCAATCCTTGATCACTCATACCACAACTTGGTCCCAAAAAAAGTCTTCTGTTTTTAAACTGTAATTTAATCTTAATTCCAGTGACAACAGGGAATGTGCAGAGAAAGCAGTTACCTCCTCTGTACATATACACTTTTAAAAATCTTCCCTATTATTTGAGTGAGAGAGGCCTTTCACAAGAATTCTGTGGGATTAAGCTCACATCTGGCTGGCAGACCTGGTGCTGGATATGATTATGGCCGCACAACTAAATCTTAAATCCACACACTGTTCCCATTTAACTGACATATATGAACTAACTAATTTATAGAAAATGTGCAGCAAATTATTTCTTCCACCTCCCCCAAGCCTCAAGAGTGCACCAGCAATAGGTGTTAGGGACACTACCCCCCACCTCGCAAACCTGCATTCCCAGACGCTCTCCAATGATCTCAAGTAGATATTGTTATTTTAGTTATTGGAATCTGTGCCCTGGAAGTAAGTATAGTGTGGAGACCGGGGAGAGGGGTGGGAATAATTTAGTCAGATAAACTTGGCCTTTCTGGACCTCAATTTCCTCGCCCGCAAAATACAGTCTGTAAATTTCGTCAGTAACCACAATCCACGACCACTATGAAGAGCACAACTTGTGCGCAGGAGGAAACCTAAATTCTCAAGCGTGGGTCATTAAATGTGAGAGTACAAAACGCCTGAAAGACCCACAGTTACGCTTCAGGGAAAACACCCCGGCAGCGGCAGCGGAGCCACCAAACCCGCCTTAGAACGCGCACAGGGTCCCCGCGAACGTCCCCGGGTGGGGGCGACAAAAAGCGCCACATCTGAGAGGACTCAGGAGCCGGGGCACAGCCTCGCCCTCCTGGGGCTTCAGAGCCCCCAGGATCCCTGCACGACTTCCGTGCGTCACCACGAGACCCCTCGAGCCACCACCTGCAGCCACACACTTGTGGCAAGCGATGAGAAACGGAAAAGGGGACGCGAGGGCGGGAAACACCTCGCTCGAGGCGCCCCCGACACCATCGCAGAAAGTGGACTTTGAACACGACAAAGAAATGGGTGAAGAGAGGGGACTCCGCCGTCCCCACCCCGCTCGGATCCTTTCAACGAAAAGGACCAGCCGTCGCCGCCGCCCCTTCCCCCTCCTTGCCTTGGGGACCGGACGCGGAGCCGGGGCTGAGCCCGCACCCGCCAAGCCCGGCTCCGAGTCGCCACGGAGTTTCGCAGCCCAGCCGCGGGGACTGGCGGCGGGAGCGTCCCCTCGGTCCCTCCGTCGCTGCGAGCCTCGGGGCACCGCGCCCCACGCGCCCGCCCTGCCTGCCCGCTCCTCGCGCTCCCGCCTCCTCGCTTCGCCGCCCCCGGGCTCCCACCCGGCCGACAAGGGCGCCTTGTGCAAACTTTGTGTGCGCGCCCAGGGCTTTTGTCCACATCCTGGGCAGGGCCGGGGCGGCCGGGTGGGTGCCTGGGGGGGCCCGAGGCCTCACAATGCACCGGGGAAGCCACCGCGGAAATCCCACCCTTTTCTCTCGGAGCCGCTTCCAGCGCCGCGTGACAGCGCGCCAGGGCGAGCAGCTCCCCGGACCCGGCGGCCCCTCGGCGCGGGAGCCCGGAGGAAACCCCGCGCTCGGCGCGCGTCTCGCCGGTCACGAGAGAAAAGGTGCGCGCGGAGAGGGAGGCAGGAGCAGCGCGGCTCCGAGAAGCCCTCCCAAGGGAAGCGGGGAAGGGGTCCTTTCTCCCGCTCGGCTCCGGACCCGGGCGCGCCAGGCGGCACACGGTGGCCCCGCGGAGGAGACACCCGCCGCCCGGCCCCTGCCCTCCGCTCCGCTCCCGACCCGCGCGCGATCCCGCGCACACGCCCACAGCCGCCGCCGCCCGGAGCCCCCGCCCGGGCCCCCTCCTCCCCGCCCGCGCCCGCCCGAAAGCGGGGACCACCCGGCGCCGGAGGAGCCGCGGGCACGGGGAGCGCGGCCCCAGCACTCACGGACGGTCTCCCCACGGCCACGGCCATCGCGGCTGCGGCTCCGACTGCGCCCGGTGCTCCCCGCCGACGCCGCTGCTGCTCCGGCTCCCGCCGCTCCCTCCCCCGCGCCTCGCTCGCGGCTGCGCTCTGCCTGCTCCGGCTCCCGCTCGCCGCGGCCGCCTCTGCTCCCCCCGCCGCCGCCCCGCCCGCTTTATGGGAGCAACATGGCCACCCGCCCGGAAGGGACCATCTGCCTCCCGCCGCAGGGGTGCGAGTCCGCGCGCCGGGCTGGGGCTGTGGGAGGGAGGACGACGCGCGGGCCCGCCGCTGGGGTCCGCCGGCTCCGGCCGCTGGACTCGCCCCCCGCCAAAGCCCGGGGCCCCCGGACGGCCCTCTGCGGGGCCGCCGACCCTCCCCCAGCCCGGACTCCGGCCGCCACCCCCCGGCCCACCACGTGCCGGAGTCCGAGTGAAATCCCGGGCGCGGAGGTCCCAGCCCCGGGTCCCGCCACGCGCTCCCCGCCGCGGACGGCTGGAGAGGCTGCGGAGAGGGGAAGGGGCAGTGGGGCGCGGCAGGTCCGCGGGGACGTCACCTCGCGTAAAGCTGGCCCCGGGCTTCACCGGAGGAGCCGGTTTGGAAGGGCGGCGGCCACCGGGCGAGGGGGGCGACGGAGGCGGGGCTGGGCACCCCCCAGGAGGCCAGCGCGGCCTCCACTGTTCTCTTGCTAAGGGAGAGGCCACCGGGCGGGCGGCTGCCCGCTGTCGCCGCGGCGTGCCGGCGGGTGGGGGGTCGCGGAGCAGAGGCCGACCGCGGCCGGCCGGAGAGCGAGGAAAGGCCGCGCCGCGCCGCTGTCGGCCGCCGGGAGCGTGGGGCCGCGGCCTGCGCTGCAGCGAGAGCTCGCGGGTCACACGTGGGGGCTCGGCCGGCCTGACCGCGGGACACGGACCCGCCGACGCCGAGGCGCGCGGCCGGGACTGAGGCTGGGGGCGCGGCGACCGCGCGGGGCTGCTGCGGCTGCGGGCGCGCGTGAGGCCGAACAGCTCCCCGCGGCGGGGAAGGGCCCTCGCCGCAGAGGCTGGGCTCGCGGCTGCCTGTGTGGCGAGCGCAGTGGCAGGACCTGGCTGAGCTGGGCGGCGAGCGGTGCCGGCAGGTGCTGCAGATGCCCGCGGCCCGTCGTGGAGCGGGAGGGGCGGCCCACGGGGACGAGGTGACTGAGGACAGCCACGGGGCCGGGCGTGCGGAAGCAGTGGGACGGGTGCGCAGGACCGTGTGCCGAGGCGGTGAAGCGCCGCCATCAGCCCCGCGAGGACGCCCCCGGGGAAAACCTGGGCCTGGTGAATCGGGTGAAAGACGAGCGCCCCTCGGGATGCCGGCGCCTCGGAGTCTGACCTGAGCCCGAGCGGCCAGGTTCCCCGGGCCTGCGCCTGCCTCTGTCCCCGGGGGCGCCGAACCCGAACGCGCAGCCTCGGGCGAAGGCCGAGTGGGCTCAGCGCGCGGGCCCGGCTGGTGCGAAGCGGGGCCTGGGTCGCCCGGGAGCGGAGGAGGGGCTCAAGGCCGAATCCCCCGCGCAGGGATGAGACGACGACGAAAGGACTGTCGTGGACAAGGACGAGGGTCTCCGAATGGGGACTGTCGGTGGTGGGCGGGCTCGGGCTTGCGCGCACGAACCTCGTGGGTTTCAGCCAGTGTCCGCCCCCCCCCCCCGGACTCGGACCTTGTGAGGACGAGGCCCAGCCTGAGTGTCGGGACTCCGCAAGCTCCGTGTCCAATTAAGATTGCCCGGTGGACGCGTGATGGCCAAAGGGAAGGGGAAGACAGGGACACTGCGATCTGCGGCTCTCCGTATAGGGCCATTTTGTTCCTTCTCCCTCGGGGGTGGGGGAGGGGGGCCGAGACTGCGTCCGCCCGGGGACAGGAGGTCTCAGGCAAGCCGGGAAGTTCTCACGTGGCCAGCGGAATGAAAGGGCGATTGGAAACCAGCTCTCCATTCTGTGTTATACGGACCAAACCCGATGGCAGGACTTAATTAATTTTTTTATTTTTATTTACGTCTCTGGTTTGTAAATGTTTATGTTGAAAACCTCGGATTAGATTAGAAGAATGTGAACTCCCTGCCTTTGTGGGTAGGTTAATCACAAAAGCCTAAGGTGACTTACTCCAACATCTCATCTGTTGGAGGTAACCCTTTTAGGACAAAAGCATCAAAATTTACCCCGCTTCGGCCTGAAGTTTTTCACTGACAAGAAACGATGCCTTAAATTCCCTCTTCCTCGTTTTTTGTTTTGGCAGGTAGGCATAAATATATTCAATGAAAATACAGTTTAATTACTGTTGGCCAAGGAAGGCTAGTTCAGAATGTCATTTCTCATTATGAAGCTGTTTTTCATTCTACAACCAGACTGCCTAGATTGGAAAATCCTGCCTTTAGGTGTGCCGGGGTGGCTCAGTGGGTTAAGCATCTGCCTTCTGCTCAAGTCATGATCCCAGCCTCCCAGGATTGAGCCCCTTTTCCCCCATCCTGCTCCTTGCTTAGTGGGGAGCTTGCTTTCCCCTCTCCCTGTGCTCCTTCCCCTGCTTGTGCTATCCCTCTGTCAAATAAACACACGAAAATTAAAAAAAAAAAAAAAATCCTGGCATTACCACTTCATAACTGCCTGACCTTGGGCAAATTACCTAACCTTTCAGCACTTCAATTTTCTCATCTTAAAGTCTGTTTAATAATAGTTCCTCTCTGGGGCGCCGGGTTGCTCACTGGGTTAAGCCTCTGCCTTCAGCTGGGGTCATGGTCTCTGGGTCCTGGGATCAAGCCCCACATCAGTCTCTCTGCTCAGCAGGGAGCCTGCCTTCCCCTCTCTCTCTGCCTGCCTCTCTGCCTGCTTGTGATCTCTATTAAAGAAATAAATAAAATCTTTTAAAAATAATAATAGTTCCTCTCTAATAGAGTTGGTAAGGGATTAGATTACCTTTTTAGATTACCTCTGTGCCCAGCACTGTGGTAGAAACCGAAAATTTTTAAATGCAGGCACCTCTCTGAATCTTAACCAGTGTGCACAGTCTACTGAGAGATGTTTAAACAACTCCGATAGAGAAGACAAATCCTTGAAAAGATACATGAATTATGGGATTTTTAAAGTATAGCAAAAGGACCTATTCACCCTGCCTGTAAGCAGAAGAGAAACGGCTTCACCAAGGAGATGGAACAGGAGAGCAAGCAAGGAAGACATTGCACTTTGTTCCTTTCGCCCTGGGAGTATTAACGGTTTCTTAATGTTAGGAGTTTGGGGTGCCCTGCCATCTCTTATTTGTCTAACTTTCCCTTCTTCAGTGCTTCTCAAATCTTAGTATTTATGAATCACTTAGGGATCCCGTGTAAATGTATATTCTAATTCACTAGGTCGGGGTGGGGCCTGAGAGTGCAGTGCCATCGGGCTCCCAGGTGATGCTGATACTGCTGATTTCGTAATCATACTAGACTTGCAAGGGTTTATAGTGGTGAAGCAGTACCTTTAAGTTTCTTAATTTGAAAAATCTGCATTAAATCCTTTTTTCCACTAAGAACTTGACAGAAGTAGGTGGAAACACACACAAAAAATGAAATTGCTATTCATAAGCTCAATCTCTCCCTATCCTTAAAATATTTGTTTAAAAATTCATTTGAGGGGCACCTGGCTGGCTCAGCTGGTAGAGCCTCTGACTCTTGATCTCAGGGTTGTTAAGTTTGAGCCCCACGATGGGTGTACCGATTACTTAAAAAAAAAAAAAATGCATTGTAGACATTGTCAATTTACTAGTAATCTTCAAACTCTGTCTTGCTTTGTATGCTCTTTGAAAATTAAGACAATATCTGCCCCTCTTTAATCTTTTGGCATTTCCTATTTTTCTCTGGCTTCCCAAAGCAGACTAGTATTGACTCTACGATCACAAATGCGAATTTTTCATGGATAACTTATTTAGGCCTGGAAACTTTAACTCACTTAAAATGGTTAGTTGCTCATTTACCACACTGGATTTCAATAGCCTTTTAGTCATTAAAATCATTTTTAATGAAAAAGTATTTGCTTGCGAGAGGAGACAAAAGTAGAGCGGTCTTGCCCCCCCCCCCACCTTTTTTTGTCATTTGGTAGCATTATATCATCAGCACCCAGGAAGTGGCTTTCATCCTTTCTTGTTCATTCTCTTGTGGCATGAATTACTTGAAAAACGGAAAAAAAATTCTGAAAATTCCTTGGTATTCTTTTAAAAGCAAAAATTATCTAAGCCTACAAGAAAGTGTCAGTCCTTGCGCTACTCTTTAATGCATGCTCTTTGAAAATCTGATCTTGTTAAGAAACACCCTGGGGAATGACCTGGTCCCTGGAATATGAGGACTTGGCCTCCGGCTACTCCCTTTGGCAGCCAGCCCTGGAGTGGGGTCAGTCTCCTGATTCCGGCCCCTCTACTTATCAGGAATTCCTTTCTCCCTCTAGCCAGTCATTGTGATGCCAGTTATTTCTCTTTGTAAGCCTAGAAAAATTAGAAGGCCCTCTGACTACTGGATACTGCCACTGGAGAGAGAAACACACACAGACACCTGCATATTCTGATGGCAGCGTATCCCTTCTATATCCTCATCTTTAGTCTCAACCTATTTGCTAGCTACTGTTCTCCCATTATGTTTCCACCAGCTGAATAATTCTATTGCATGGGGTTACTCTGCACCTGCATCTCTCATCTTGTAAACTTATTCCTTTTGGATGAGGTAAGACTCCTTTACTCACTTCAATCATAAGTTCCTTGCAACTTCATCTACCAGTATCTGTTGGATTGTGTTAATTTCCTTCTGTTAATTTTTCCCAGTTCAATTTGCTTTCCCATTCTCCCTTTCCAACCTGACTTCAAAAGTCACGAACACTGTATTGCAAGTTTCTTCTGTTTCATTTAGTCCACCCTGATCAACAGAAGTGGATATTGGTTGGTTGGTATGATAAACTGTAGCAGATTATGCTTCACGCCTCATCATTATACTCTTTAAAGAGGACAAAAGAATCATCCACTGCAAGATGGCCTCCTTACTTATCCATAGTGAAAAACGTGGGCGTGGGAATCAGAA